ACGCTTTCGCGACTGAGCCAGAAACCTCACCTCTCTCGAGCATCTCCTGGATGTGCAAATCGAACACCTCCTTTGCCCTAGCGTCACCTGATTCACCGGAAGAATGAGACCTGAGTGCTGGAGGAGTCGATATCTCGATCCTCTCAGGAGCCCCACTAGCTCTAGCATATCTTCTGGGGTCATCCACAGGACTATCACCAGCCCCAGATGGCCTGCTAGGGGTAGAACCCCTTCTACGGCTATCGCCGGAACGGGGATCAACATGGGACGCACGAGACTCGGGAGTAGAGTGGATGTGAACATCAGCAGGATCAGGCATCTCCTCATCCTGCGGAGTTGAGTCCATTGGTGAGGGGCTAGCCCTCCTCGCCTTTGACCTATCGGTCTCAATGGCCAGGGGTGACGGTCTCTTCGCAGAAGCACTACGTTCCCTGGCGGTCGAGCCCCATTGAGGTGTGAACTCGTTGCTGGACCTTAGCGTTTCAAGGTCACTGGTATCTCGCCCTAACGGGCTAGCGATCGACGGACGATCCTCGATTCCGAGTGCATCGGCAAGCCGGCCATCTCTTGCACCTCTCCCAACGACATCGGCAACCCGCTCAGTGACTCTCGGCGAACCAGTAACCCGGTTCGAGTTCACGTCTCTCTGATTTAACGGACCTCCAAACGTAATGTTGGGAAAAGGGGGAACATTCGGGGTATCACCAATCGCCGGGGGACCTACCGGTCCCTCACGGTCATGGATGGCCTCCAATCCCCGAAGAACTTCCCGACTGTCCCTGGCTCTCTCTCTCTCGCTTCGGGCATCCCTGTCAACGCGAAGGTCCCTGGCGGCTCCACGAGAGAGGCTCCTGGGCCTCGCAGCATCACGTAGCATTTCGTCGTGGTTGGTCCTCCTCCTCATCACGGCGATCCGCAAATGCGGCATACTCGTCATCATCATCGACCTCAAACTTGGCAGCGGCGGGACTAGTCCTTGCAGTCGCACGGCTGCCTGCATTTCGGCGCGAATGGCTCTCCTCCTCATCCGCAAAATTGTAACCTTCGCCATCATAAGACTCAGATTTGGCAGTATTAGGGTTGGGCCTACCGGCATCAGATCCCTGCTTTGAGCTACTGCCCCAACCTGCGGTTGATTTCAACAGATCATCGTATCCGAAGTCCGTGAATTTCCGCTCCTCGTGCTCATCAAACTGACCTGGATTTTGAGAACCAGTGGATCGGCCCGGGATACCTCCCGGAGCCAGAACCATAGTCCCTGGTCCCTGCGGCCTATTCTCAAACTCATCCGAGACCTGCGACTCACCTGGAACAAGAGATCTCGGAGGTCGAATCGGCATGGCCTCCGGGTCATCCGAATGAGGGCGGGCCATGTCCATCGCCATGCTGATGAAGTCAAAACGTCCACGCCTGTGACCTGATTCAGAGCCACTCCTATCGGAGTAAACCCTTCGTGTCTGCTCGTCATCAGTGGCCTGGCGGAAAATACGATCGTCTCCATCGTCGGCGTACCTGCCACGGCTCCTGGGTGTATCCCTACCGGGATCTTCACCCCTGCGGTCCTGACCTGTCGAACCTGCTTCGAAATCCTCGTAGTCATAGTCCGGTAGGTCCTCACCTGAGCGGAGGCCACCTAGGATGGCCTCCTCATCCACGACGCTCCTTCGAGATCGTGGGGTCGACATAGAGCTTGTAGTTGATGGTCTCAAGCGCGTAGGAGAGTCCTACGGCTGATAACCTGTGATTCGGGCACGAGCCTGTGCCCAGGCAATGGGTTAGTTGGGGTAAACAAGCCACAAAAGAAAGGTTCCCCAAAAGCAAACCAATCCCCGGTCCCAAAGATCAGGGTTTCCCACACACCAGAGAACAACAACCAAAGGAAAACAAACCAAACAAGAAAAGGGTTAACCCGCAACCTTGGTCGACAACAGGCCGCACGACTGGTCCCTACCAACCTGGCGGCGGCCCGAGGTCTCTTTCTCCCCCGAGATGCCGTCGGTCGACGCAGGGGTTCGGCGACGCCCATTCGAGGCGCGACGGAACCCAAAATCTTGAGCCAAAACACCACAGGTCGGTCACTAACGCGACGTCCCTGATGATGATATGAACCATGGCTAATCACACAAAACAAACAAGCGCGCACACACAAACGCATAAACAAACAAACAGACAAACTAATTAACTAACAACCAACTAAGACAGCAAGCAAGCAAGCAAGCAAGCAAGCAAGCAAGCAAGCAAGCAAGCAAGCAAGAAAGCTTGGTTAACAACCAAAGGGTTGTTGAAGAGGATCCCTCACAAAGGGGTACATGCCCACCAATGCCGTCGTATCCTAACTGGGGAACCAACTCTGAACGTTTTGATCCTGGCAAGCGTCACAAAGAAGGTAGACAACAGTACCCCCTGGGCTGACAAGTGGGGCTTTGAGTAAATGCCCATGATCATGGACCCGAACAGGGTCGCGATAATGCCCGAGGAGTGCAACGTCTCAGCGAGGCCGTAGATAAAGTAGGCAGACACCAAGATGTACAAAATCTCCATAAGCTGCGAATGCTTCCTGGGCAGTCACTGGTTTGTCAGTACCCAGCCATGCTTCATGAGCACGAGTAACAAATCAGGAGCTTTCCCTGGAGGAAAGAAACTCTGAGAAGGAATTTGTTCATGAATAAGCTGCAAGTAGTTGATCATGTGGATGTGCTCAGCTGTTTGAAGCCTCAACGGTCCAACCTATCAAAACCCTCCTCAAGCCGAGCCGGAATCGGGCACTACGCAAAGGAACCCGTCTTCTCACATTGCAAGCTTGCCTGGCAAGCTCGTAATTCGACGAGCTTCAAGCTGGCAAAGCGCAGGAAGAAGGTCAGCAGCGCTGCTGCACAACACCCCACCGCGATGGAACAAAAAAGTTTCTGAACGATTCCCGCTGCAATGGCTGCAGGCAAATTCACACTGGTGCCCTCCCGGTCGTAGGGGTTTCCGAAGACCTGTGCCAGGGTTTTCGTTTCTTCTTGTATGGAGCGTGCCACGAGCTACAAAACTTAGTGTGGTCATTCCAGTTTCCTTTGGGAACCCATCAGCAGGCGAGTCCTACCCGCTTTGAACACGAGGAGCTGCGGGTTGACAAGCTTTGGCCTTCGACCCTCCCGCCTCATCGCTGTTCATGATCTCGAAAACCACAATGGCCACTGCGTCATTGATCATCGACTCGCCGAAGACCATGACATTCAGCACCGGCTCTACTTTGAGGCTGGCATACGTGGACAGGGTCGCCACCGGATCTGTAGCAGCAATCAAGGACCCATATGCGATGGCGGTGCGGATGCGTGTGATTGAGTGGTACTCACTGGTGGCATGGATCAAAATGCCAACCACTAACCTTGGCTGGCCTTAACTCTGCCAAACAGTTAAACTGCTTTCTGGAATGAGAAGTGGAATGGTCATTTTCCCAACTTTTCTAAGGTTGTACCAGGGAGAAACCAAGTAACATGCTGATGACAGAGCCAAGCACAGCGAAGATAATGATGTACACCAGCTGCGATGCAAAGTCACGCCACCTCAAAGTCCAACCCGACTCGAAGATGATGATGGGAAGCAAGGCATACCTTGGCATATGTCAAAATTAGGACTCTCGCAGCAGTTGTGGTGTGCCTATCAGTTTCCCTACAGACCAACCCAGAAAAAGGTACCCTCCCAAATCCCACACCACCCACCTGTGTTCGCCGCAGGCCGAGGGTGTTCAAAACGGGGGCTGTCTTTGCTGGGCAAGAGCACCAGACGAAGAGTCCAAATGCTGGGCTGAGCTGCTTCACCACGGGCGGGCCTAGAACAGGAATGATGTTTCCCTCGCCGAAATTGTACTCGCCCAGCACAAAGACAAAGATACAACCCAGGCCCAGGCCTAGAAGAATCACAACGGCAGATTCCGGAATCCAGGTTATATTGCATGCCTCCATGGAGGAGGAGATCACAAAGGCCAGGATCAGGGTACATGACAGGGGCAACATTGCTTGCACGGCCAGCCCGACGCCTTCCTCATTTTTCTCGGACTCCTGGGCTTCCTCGCCGTGTTCTGGAACTTGCGCGTCAATACTCACTGCCAGGAGGGACAGCAGCAAAAGCCATGCAGACAGCTTGCGGCCCATGCCGCCTATGAAGCAGAACTCTGAAGACCCAAACGGGCTCAAACTGGATCAACGTTGCATTCTGACTCTCTGACTTCCAACAAATATGTCTCTTTGATATCGCAAGGGGGTTTCTGGGCCGATTGTGAGCCATGAAAGTGCGAGTACGATGCATCCGGTCAAATCAATCAACAAGTTCGAGTCACAATCAACACCTGGTACTAAATAGGCTACCATGTCCAAACCAAGGAAAACCATTTGATGAATCAATCATACATGCTACTGGCTGTCAATTGTCTGTTGTCCTGAGTGCTGAGCAGCGACTTGAAGCGCTACAAGAAGCAAGGAGCTGCGCAAACATTGTAGGCCATGCGTACAAGTCACACCTTGGACAGCATTGCCACTCAGCCTAAAGCCGAGCGATTTTCCCTTGATCGTTGGCCTGGCTTGCACAGGCAAGCGCCAAAGCGCCAAAGCGCCAAAGCGCCAAAGCGCCAAAGCGCCAAAGCGCCAAAGCGCCACTCAACTCATGGGCACAATAGCATCAAACAATTGCTGGTGTGACGATGGGCCATGGAGATTGGGCAAAGCACCAATTGACCCTACCTCAAATCCAAACAACTTCCAACCCACAATTAAGAAGCCACCGTTTGGCCCTGCCCCCTACAACGATTTTTGCGTGGCATGTTGTAACAATCAAGCAACTTGGAATTTCAGCTTGCGCCCGCCATGTTGGAACAAAGGGGGAAGACAGATCCTCAAGATTGAATGGTGTTTGCAACGAGCCTTTTAGAGAGTCAACCATGCCGCGGGGTCAGACATGCTTTGAGTCAAGGGCACCGGAACAGCAACACCCCTTCCGCGTTTCACTTCAGTGCAGGCCTTGAGGCTCTGGTTCAAGCGCTGGGGCAGTGCCCCGCACTTGGTCATCGCCTGGCTCAACAAACGAAACAAGTTAACAAGAACTCGAACACAAACAACCAAAAGAATGGGCCATCACAAGTAGATTGGCTCATTAATTTTTAGAGCTTGAGGGGCAACCATGTCATAGGTTTCCCATGTAACCCTTGAGTAGGCGCCCCTATCTTCAGCCTCCTCACTCAAGCGTATTTCTTTGAAAATCTGGTGGACTGAAAGAGAAGTTGCAAATCCCATCCGACTGCAATGACGCAGTGTCACACAAAAACTAACGTGAAAAAGACAACCAAATTCAAGCACATGCAGTTGCAACCTCTTTGACTTCAGCAAGTGGGCTGATGCTCCTCGGGGTGTTCTTGAAACTGTGCGTGTTGCAACAAAGAAGCGGAGGAAACCACATATCGGATCCAAAATCCAAAGCCACATTTTTCCCCTACAGTCAGGCTCCAAAAAACCAGAGCCAAACACAGCACCAAGCAAAGACTGCTGGATTGACACAAGCTGAACAACATACAGAAGTTGAGGACCTCGAACAAGCAGGGGATGCAATGGCTGCCTTGCTGAGGCAACCCCTCCGCTTGGGGACTATAGACGAAACGCTGCTTCCATGCTGTGAACTCAAGGGCGCACTGAACAAGCACCCATATTTTTTAACTTGCCCCCTGTTGAAGCACCACAACCACATGCTGACAAATGACAACCACGCAAGAAAACGAAAGACACACTTCGACATAGCGATCCTCGGACCTTCTGGTCCAAAGGAATCCTTCAGGCAAACAACGCAAAGTTCATCTAACCTGCTGGCGGCCAGGTAGACTGGTAACTGAAAGGCGTGTTGATGCGTGCTGCAGATCCCCGGCAAAAGCCAGCCCTCGATGCAAAGATAGAAAAGACAGAAAACTTATGCTTTAATTAGTAGTCGGGGGCCTTGCCTAGCAATAAATTGCTTTCATACATACACCCCCCCTACATTTTTTTCATTTCCATCTTCTACCCTTATTCGTTTTCATCATTTTTCTACATTCCTTTCTGTCCATCTCATCCGTTTTTTTATCATCACTTTTCCAAAATTTTCGCCATCCTTTTCTCCTTCCTCCTCGCCTCATTCATTTCACCAACTACCCTTCAAAATGTCATTTCCTCAATCTCCTCACCTCATCCATTTCAAAAAAATAGATTTTGCAAAATATATTGCAAAAAATATTTGTCATCAAAAAAATATTCGAACTGTCTAAAAACGATTTGTCCATTTCTCGGACAAAAAATAGAACAGCAACAACATCACTCCCCTCCTTCGTTTCATCACTTTTATCATATATGTTTTTAGGCGTGGTGTCCCTTGTAGGATTTTAGGGGTTTATGTTGTGTTTCTGGGAGTAGGTTTTTGGGAACCGTCTCCCGCCCGCGCTTCGACTTCATCCACTTCATCATCGTTATGTGCCCCTGCGAGTTTTTGACAAGTTGTGCATTCTGAAGCATCAACATGCCCAGCAAACAGCATCAGCACTCATGAAACAACAGCATCAGCACGCACGAAACAACAGCATCAGCATGCTCAGAAAACAGCATCAGCACGCACGAAACAACAGCATCAGCATGCTCAGAAAACAGCATCAACATGTTGAGTTTCAGCGCGTGAATGACTTGCTGTGATGAACCCCCTAATTCAAACTCACTAAGATTTCACAAATTAATTCGCTAGGTATTTTGTATAAATCTTCCTGCTTATGTATTATTGGATTGTCACCCCATTTTTCCTTGGTGCCCGATGGTAGCCGTTGTGCAGTTTCAATATGTTTATTATTCCTGATGTTGCCACAATCCTTTTTACATAAATCTCTAGGTTTCCAAGTTGTAATGTTATTCCAGAGCCTAGTGCGTTTTCTGTAAGGCATTCCATATTTACAATAATCAACATCTTTAAAATCAAACTCATCCATAAACCCCTGTTTTTTTAATAATCCAGTTTGAGGATTTTCGATTACAAAATATTTAGGATTGAAATATTTGATAATCTCAATAGTTTTTAAGACAATACTATTTGCATATTCGATATTCCTAATTCCCCTAGTTTTTGCTACACTATATTCAGTGCATGGGGGACTACTCCAAATAAAATCAAAATGGTTTCTGTCAAACTGTTTGTAATCCCACTCCAAAATATCAGTGTTGATATCAGCATTTTTCAAGTCTAATGATATTACATTAAAACCAAGCGACTTTGCTATGGTTCCGACGCTTTTTGTTCCGCTAAATAATTCTAATAAATTCATTTATTAGAATTATTTAGATATTAATTATTCAAATAATACATATACTCCATCATCATTTTTTGTAATTTTATAAAACTCTAATGTTTGTTGCTTTGGTTGTTTGATTTTTCCTGTATTCAACATATCACAGTATTTCTTTTGCTTTGTAGGGTAATCGCCCTGGGTCTCCTATAGATTTTGCTTGAAATATCTTTTCGATTTTCTCCTTCTCTTCGTTGCTTTGTTGTTCGCGTTCAACTGGTTTAAGTTTTTCATCAATGGATTTAATCATATCATTTAAGGTTTTAATATTTCTATCAATTAATGTTATCTTCTTCATTAAATCATTAATAGTATAATTTTCATTTTCAGACATTACTATATATTTATTTAGATATTTATTTATTTAGTTATATATTTTTCATCATTTGTTTAACAGTTTCCTGTGTTTCGTTTTCATTATTATCGGATGGTGTTGCTTGCCTACCAAATTTAAAAGTTATATTATGGACATCAGTTTCTAAGTTGATACTGTCTTTAGTTTTATCAATATTCATTTTCTTATCATTTTTACTTACTTTAAAACCAACTGGCACACAACTACATTTACAATTTCCCTTCCTTTGTATTTCTAACTCATTTTTAAGTTCTAACATCTTTTTGCACATAGGACAAGCAACCTCAATTACTGCTGTTTCTTTAACAATTTCTCCGCTATCTTCATCCGTTGAAGAAACACTTAAACCTGTCTTATTTTTGTTTTTCTTTTTCTTTTTCACCATTTATATTAATATTTACATTTTTATTTTTGATATATTGCATCACAAACTTAATTAATTCTAATGAATAATAACAGCATTTTTTAGTTTTATTATCAGTAATTATTACTTGTTCTATATTCTCTACTTCATCTATTATATTAATATAATCTGAATAACTCCTATTCATATAAACAATAAGATAAAATAGTTATTTAATCTCATTATTTTCATGCATGATAGAATATTCGGAGGGCACAGCACTTGGGGTTTTCTTTACAACGCATCAAACTAATTAGCTTCAATGCTTATTGATTGAAGTTGATGAAAGAGCCTGTTCTACTACGATAGACCCCAATCATATCATAGCAATGCTTTCACACAATAAATAATATTAATTTATTTTCTAAATATGTTTAATATCAACTATATGACAGATGTTCCAATAATAAAACCAATAAACATAACTGAATATGAATTCAAGCAATCCAAATATGAGCACGTGCCAAAATTACCATTTAGAAGTATTATAGTTGCTTCTTCGACAGGCGGGAAGACTGTCCTTATTCAAAATTTAATATTGAATGTTTATAGAAATTCATTTGCAAGAATATTTATATTTTCACCCAGTGTCCATAACGACCCTACATTTACAGAAGTTAAAAAATATATCAGGGATGAATTGCACGTGGATGATGAAAAAGAACAAATTTATTTTGATAATTATAATCCAAGTGATTTAGAAAATGTAATCGAAAGACAGAAGAAAATTATTAACTATATGAAATCTAAAAAGATAAAGAAACTGCACTCAATATTAATCGTTATAGATGACCACGCTGACGACCCTAAATTTGTTAGATATAGTAAATTATTACATGGATTATTTACAAGAGGTAGGCACGATGCAGTAAGCGTAATTTGTTCAACACAGAAATACAATGTTTTGGCGCCTATCATTCGTTTAAATGCCAGTTCGTTATATATTTTTAGGTTGAAAATTGCCAGTGAATTAATGAGTTTTATTGAAGAAAATAGTGCCATTGTTGATAAACAGCAATTATTAGATATGTATCATCAAGCCGTTAATTTTGCTCCATATTCTTTTTTCTACGTGAATATGAATTCAAAAGACATTAACAAAAAGTTTCATATCAATTTTGAACAGGCATTTCAAATTACAAATGATGAATAAAGATATTCTAACTTAATATAATATAATAATATGCCAATGAAACTATGTAGATGTGGTGGATTCTATCGTAGAGGTAATTACAATTTTCATACTAATTCTTGGATACATAAACTTTATAAAGTGTTAAAAAGACGACCAACAGACGAGGAATTATTAAGATTTCAAAATAATTTTGTTGATGAAGAAGATTTAATAGATGATATGTGTAGCAACGCCTCAACAAAACTACCCGAAAGTGAAATGACAGATTATGATAGCAATTAAGAATATTAATTAAGTTTTAATATTATCAATTTAAATTAACGAAGCATTGCAAAATTGTAAAGCAGGAAGTTTATATATTAATTTGTCAGATTTTTCTTTTTCTAATTTCTCAATTCGTGCCACACATTCTTGAATAGATTTTATTATTAAAGTATCTGCTCTTGTTTTTTCATCTACTCTTAAAGTCTTAATGTCTTCCATACTGTTATTTGCATCATTTTCACTTTGACCAATACCCATTATATATAATATTATTTAGATTTTAATTTTTCAAAATTGAAATGTTGGTTTTCTTCTTCTTCTTCGTCTTCAGTTGGTGCTGGTATTTCTGTTGGACTTTCAGATGAAGAACTATGAACAGTAATAGGTGGAGAACTATGAACACTAATAGCTTCATTTGCTACTTTGTGCATTTCCTGCTGTTATCTGATTAACTAAATCTGCAATATTTATTGTTGTTGCAATTGTGCTGTGTGATAAGTTTAATATTATATCTGCTACTGTAGCGCCGTTGTGTAGCATTATTTCTATCATTTTTGTCAGTTT